ATAATCACCTTTGACTCTTCCATGTATGGAGGGAATCTTGAGCCGTTATTGTCTGTTGCATGCACGTGGGAATTTGGGTGTGTCTCATCCATTTAATGAGATATTTATAGGAGGGTCGCCTCCAGGATTTTTTGGATTATTTTTGGCTCCACAATAGTGGTGCCAATAATATGGTGTAGTGGTTAAGGTGTAAAGGTAGTGGTGGTAGGGATTGTGGTGGTGGCAACGATATTGGCTGAAACGGTTGTAAGAATGGATGGTGACGATGATGGCAGTGAGTATAGGTGATGGTGATGGCAGCGACAATCTTGAGGGTATGGTGGTGGCACCAATAGTGGGGTGTGGTGGTTAGGGTGAAGAGGTAACAATGGTGGTAGGGCGGCAGCTGCAGTCGTGGTGGCAATTGTGGTTGTAGTGGTGGTAGTAGTGGTGGAGGTGGTGGAGGTGACGGAGATGGCAGTGGTGGCAATGGTTGTGTAAGGTTAGTGGTTGTAATGGTAGGTGGTGGCGGTCACCTTGTTCTCCAAGAGAATAAATGTGCATAGAAGAATAGATAATGTCAATTTTAAAAGCTAATAAGGGTATTACAGGAATCAAAAATATTTATTAAAGACTCAACATAACTTTTTATAAAGTTGTTGTTTAAAAGTCATTGCTTTTAAAATAAGTAGAAAATTTTATTTTTACTAAACATTTTTAAATTGCTTAACTTTAAAGTGAAATTGTTTTTGGTGAAAAAAAATACCAAGGGAGGCCTTAATGAAACACAATAATTTCTAACTTCTTATCAATTAGAATATTTCAATAAAAAAATATTCTAATTGATAAGAAGTGACTAAATGAGGCCTAAACTCGTTTTAATGTATCACCATGTCATAATAGTCATATTATTTTGTCATATATACTAAATTCGTATCAATTCGAATATTTCAATAATAAAAATTACCATTTTCAAAAGCTTAGCACCCTTTCTCCAAAAATAAAAAATAAAAAAGCTTAGCACCCATCTCCTCATGTTTAAAACCACGCCGTTCAAACGGAAACCTTGTCATTCAAGGGAACTTCATTTTTGTTCTACATTTTTCGTCTAGCAGAGGCTTGTGGGTGGCTGTGCATATTTTGATTCAATTTAACGTTATCCTTCAAACATTACTAACTTAAAAGTAATGTTCTAAAAAATGGTCTAGGCGATCACCATCCGAGGCGTTTTCTTGCAAATCAGCTGGATTCTAAGCGGGCTAGGCGGAGCTGGGCGTTTTTTTTTTTTTTTTTTTTAACTTCTAAGTTCTCGTGCCCTGCAACTACCCTAATTTCAGAAACCAAGTCTCGTCGTCAACCACTTCGTCTCTTCTTCCTCAACTGCAGTGCACTCACCCACTACGACTTCGAGAGGTTTTCTAGGTCATCGTCGTCGATCGTCTCTTCCTGTTTCCACGGTCTCCACTTTCCACCTACTCTCACATCTCGATTCTCCATAGCTTGGCTGCGACTTCAAGGAGCTCGTCAATTACGAAGAAGATGATGATAAGGCATCTGACTTTACAGCTAAAGTCAACGGCGAAGCCCCCAAAAAGTGAGTTTTTGTTCTACAGATTTGCTTACTTATTTTTTTTCAGTTCGTTGTTTGGTCGATCAGAATTAAAAATTCAACCTTTTCATTATTCTAATTGCTTATTATATGTTGCTTGCATATGATTGTTGTAATTCAAAATCCGATCGTAATGTAGAAGTATTCTGATTGCAATTGAATATTAATTAGGTCTAATTTGGTTATGTTTGTCATTGCTTTTTTGCATGGGATAACTTGGAATTCACAGTTCAGGGTTCAGAGATTTCCTTTTGAAGACTGAGCTTCTTCGGTCTATTGTCGACTTTGGATTTGATCATCCTTCTGAAGGTAAACTCTTGAACTTAGACTTTTTTATTGTTATTTGTTGACGTGCATACATGGGCTTTGCCATTTTCTTTATTGCACTTAAATATTATTTAACTTAAAACATTTACAAAGTATATGGGATACCCAAATAAGATTGGAAATCACATTTCAGTGGTTGCAAGCACTGCCTTGTTCTCAAGTATACTATAGGATTATGAATTACTTCATTTGTTGAAAGAAATATTTCTTTTGTACATTTTCTACCTGTTTTACATAAGGGTATATGAGCTGGTTGACTTGTTGGTAAAGCAATTCACTTTTGATATTGTAAAGCACACCTGGTAATGAATTACCATTTACAGTTTGCGTTGGAATCGTTTTCAGAAACTTTCTTGTGTTTGAGTTACGTAACATATAAATACTTGTTTCATTTCTCTGAAATCAGCTTGTAAATTTTTATGCCTTATCTTGATTTACAGATAAAAGGAGAATGAAAATTGTGGAGATGGGTGATGCTCAAGAGCTTGTGAATATGTTGGGGTCCACTAAAGATGACAGCACAAGGAATGAGGCTTTGAAAGCTCTTACCGCTCTATCACCCTCAGGTTCAGACATTTTCATTCACAGTTGGTACTACATGCGCCTATGTTTATAGCTTGAAATTTTGTTAATTTTATAGAATAGGTGTGTATCAACTTAAATTCCGGGATGCTAAAAATAACTATCTTACATTACTATATTTTCTTATTTTCCTCCTATTTTGCATTTTAAGTGGCTTTACATTGTGAACTTGTTGTACATGTGTCATCCTACAATACTCCTCACTATGGTTATATGGCATATATGCTTAATGTGTTTTTAAATTTTGGACTTGTTGGATTCTCTTTTTGCATTTTATCATTCTTTTTCTATCTTATCCATGGATTTCATAAAAGTATAAATTTTTATAAGTGTCAATATGCACTTATTTACAAGATATATAAGAAATTTACCTAAATCCGCCTAGATCCCGCCTAGCCACCTAGATGCTAGGCACCAGCCCGCCGCCCGACTAGCGCTTTTTAGAACCTTGCTTAAAAGTCCCTTTATCTCTCATCATATAGCATATCAAGATAAAAATAAATAAAAAATAAAAAAACTTCAATAATATTTCCTTTACCAACGAATGAGAGATAATGTACTTTCATACTCATACATATAAACCCGAATATCACACTATTGGGCCCTTCAATTTCATTGAAGGCTTTAAGGTGAAATTAAAGTTCATATTACAACCAAAAGCTTCGTAACGTTTGACAAGTGGTAAGTAGCCATACTTTTAAACTTCATGAACAGTAGTGTTTAGTGAATTTTGACCAACAAACAAGCATCTGTATATATATCAAACTACTACATTACATTACATTGTTTTATGTTCTCTTATAATCCACATCAAATATATATCAGACAACCACAATGGGCGTAACCCACTTTTAGGGGTGAACTACTTAAATTGTTTTGTTCACATACATATTATTCTTTCTCTCATCTCTCTGGCGTCTCCCTCTTCAAGCTCTCTCCACTGTTGAAATGGTTGGATAAAAAACCATTTATTCGGATCCGAAGCCACACCATTATTTTCCATCTCTATTTACAATTACACGTGGTGTACCACACTCTGTGTTCTGACACACTGAAAAATCTTTCGCATAATAGAAAAGATAGAGAACAAACTCCTACTTCATTAAAATATTGGGGGTTTTTGGGTTTTTTATTTTTTTTAAATAAAAAGGGTACCAGTTTATGACTAATAGGTGATCCTTATGGATGCGTTTATTGTACCAGATTATTTCAGACTGGATTAGTTTTAGAAACTAAACTGGACTGATTTAGCTTGGACTAAGCAGAATAAAAATAGTAATAGTGTCGGACTAAATTATTTTTGAGATCTAAATATTTATTTTGCCATTTTTTAAACTCTCTCTCCCCCACCCTCTTTATTTTCCCTTTTCTTTTCTATTTCTTTTCCTTTCCAGATGCTTCTCGTTTCTTTCATTGGTTTAATTCTCTCCCCCATCTTTCTTTTCCCTTTCCTTTTCTCTTTCTTTTTCTGAATCTCTTTTTTTTTTCTTTTATTTTTTTTTTCGCAGCAAGAGATAAGCACATTGACAAGAGTATAGAAGAAGAACTTGGGGATTCAGAAACTTCAAAATTTCAGAAATAAGAAGAATAGACGAGACGCAAACGTACACTGATCAGAACGCAAAAACCTTGGGCAACGACGCGATGAACCCAACCATATGAAAGATTTGCCAATCGATGCAGGCGTTGGAGTTGCAGATGGTGTGGCCGAGCGCGAACGCGCAAATCGGCGTCGGCATCGAGCTTTGGGTGAACGGAAATCTAAATTTGCTCACCCAATGAGCCATCGTCGTAGTCGAGTAGCAGACGAGAAGAAAGAGAGAGTGTGTGGTGGTCTGGTGGTGTGATTTGGCTGGAGTGAGGACAGAAAGCAAGCAACGCAAGGAGGATAGCAGAGGGAGGTCGCAGTCCCATGTTTTTGGGGTCTCGCTAGCACCTCTTAGCAAAGGGTTTTGTCCATGCAAGTCTTTTTAGTTTCATTAATGTTAATCTCAGAACGGAATTAAATTAACAACTAGTCGTCCAATCTACTCCCATTTAGTAAGGGCAAACAAACGCTTTCTATGTGTATAAAGAGAGAGGTCAGATTTGATGATTCATTCATGAATCATAATATATATTAAAATGCCCTTTTCTTATTACTTTTTCTCAGTAAACTGAAAAATAATAGAATATGAAAATGATTAAATATAACCAGCTGAAAAGGACTTGAACTTTTGACACTACCCGTTGAGATGGATCTAATAGAAATGTGCAGTTGGTCAGATGCTGCAGAAAAGTATTTTAACACTGTTTGTTAAAGCATGCAATAAACTAGCCCACGGTGATTTGATGCCTTGTGGCATGTTGATACTATTTTCTCCTTTCTGTTCGAAATATCCAAGAAAAATTGGTTGCACACACCATCGCTCATTCTAAAAATTTTATCCTGAATATTTTGGTAACAAAAAGAATATAAAATACCATATGAAACGAATCCTAATTGCAAAAGAATAAAAAAAAGTTGAAATGCAAATGTTACACATGCTTAACTTGTCAAACGAGTTGAAAACCCCTTCATTGAAGAGTGCCTTTGTTTGGAAGTGGAAAATATACAATAATCTCATCATCTAATCATTAAATTAAATAGAAAGGTGATCCAACCAGGGTAAAAGTCTTTCGTGAACTAACTCGGGCCTGTCATCATGGGGGCAATGTCCAACCCCTGGCAGAACAAAGAAGCTTACATTCGCATTCGCATTGGGGGGGAGTTGAGAAGGCAGGGAAGCGAAGTATTTGCCAAGAGGTCCATCAAGCGGGGTGAAGGGGTCTTGATCCCCCCATAATACTAGAAGAGGGATATGGGAAATTCTTGATATCAACTGCATCGGGTTTGGTCCTGGGGGGCCAGTCACGATAGAAACAAACGCATCAAGTGCCCCTGGGTCGCACGTTGGTTCCATGATTATCTGCATAAGACGAAGATACGTAACATTACGAGATCAGAGACAAAGAAAACTATAAATTAAGGGTGGTGTTATTCACACACATCTTTTTTACTTAACACACGTTCCTTGTTAATTTCTGTCATTTGATCTTCTTCAATTCATTTGATTCGAATACCAGAAATTGAGATGAATGTGTAGAAGATAAAAGAATTTGTGCAAATAACACTACTCTTTAATTAATTGCACATAATCAGTTCCTTTTTTGCATACGAGATTTGGATTTCCTTTCCTCTCATGGCTAGATATATGACATATATCGGTTCCTCAATCGCATACGATATCCGGAGTTTCTCTCCTCTCCTAGCTAGATGTACGTACCTCTACCAATTCTTTATCGACGGATTCCTTGTTCCCATAAACAGCCAATAAAGCCTTCCTTATAGTATCTCTGCATGCATGTGAATCATTTGAGTATTTCATCATATATATATCACATGCGTACGTACAGTACTACGTACTCACGACATCCATGCACGAGTGATTGATTGAGTTAGCTAGAATTGATCAATAGATACCTTTGTTTGACACGCTCAAAAATGGCCGAAGCAATTCGTCGTTGTTTGAGTAGAAAGTCAAAAAACCAAAGCAAAGGTAACAAAAGCTTGATCCTCCAATCATCAACAATTGCTTTATTATTCATACCACCAGCACAATTTAAAAGCACTAACCCTCCAACAAGTGCTTTATCATTAGATTCTAGTCACACAAAACAACGTACGTCGATCATTGAAAATAATTAATTAAGTTAAGCCCACCGACCACAAGATATATAGAAAATAAATTATTTTTATTATAACTTATACCTAGCTAAGTTAAACATATATACAAGATGAGTCTAGTTTAGAATTTTAAACACAACACACCTGAGGCAGCAATTACACAAGCAAGGCTTCCAACAGAGTTCCCTATCAACACAGTTGGCTTTTGAACTATTTCGCCCAGAAAATCCAAGATTAACTGTGTAATTACAACGACACTTGAGTTACAATTAAACATAAGTTGGCAACGTCAAAAGACTGGTTTTAGGAATATAATTAGAGACCACATATTTATACTATATTGGTGTTACAGTATATCATGATATAACAAGTGATGTGTACATGCCATATCAATTATTGAATTTATTTCATTGGAGAGTAAAGTAGGAAGACTATATATTTATACCACATTGGTGTACTACATGATGTGGCAAATGATTCTTCGAGTCATTAGCCAATGAGATAAATTCATCAATTGACGTGTTAAATACACAACACCTTCCACAACAGATGGTATACCAATGTGGTACAAAAATGTGATCTCCTTAGCAGTTTCCTTCATTGGATGTTAATTGTACACAACATTTGCCACATCATATGTACACTAATACAGTATAAGAAATTAGACTGTCATTTTCAATTGCTAAGGTGATTTATTTCTATTTTGAATATCAGTTTATTGAGAATAAATCTTACATTGATTAGAGTATGTACCTTAAATGAATTTATAAGTAAGTTGGCCTACTCTCCTTATAATAAATTAGTTTTGTGATGGAACCGCAACTTTCTTTACAACATTTTATTGAATTTTCATTTTGGTATTATGTTTGAGTAAGGACGAGTTAAAAACTTCTCATCTTTGCAGTTTCATGTACTCCTGTATATAACATTACATTAAGCATAAGAAGGTTGTGACTAGTCATATATAGCCTAAATATTATTCACATAACCTTATTTGAGGAGGCCAAAATATTGGCCAAACCTTAAATACTTTTAATAAAGAGTAATGTTAGGTAGACCAATTTTTCAAGTCAAATTTGTAAATTATGTCATCAATAAAAAAGAAATACGTTAATTATCACTTAAGCAATAATTCAATCATTAACAATCACGTCATATGATTTAAAATTTTGATCTAAAGACCTCCGTAGCATTACCCTTTAATGAAACAACAATAATCTTATCATGCATATCCCGTAAAATGAATCTCTCTCTCTCTCTCTCTCTCTCTCTCTCTCTATATATATATATATATATATATATTTTTTTTTTTTTTTTTTTTTTTTTTTGGGCAAAAATGTATCTATGTATAACAAAGGGCATCTGACTCAGAGATACCTTAGCCCATTTTTCCATGGTATATGAGAATCCAGTAGGCTTTTCCGAGGCGCCAAAGCCAAGGAGATCAATAGCATAAACGGTATAATTCTGGGACAACGTCCTAATGTTTCTGAGACAGACATGCAAGTATAAGTGTAATCACATTAAAGAACAGTCAGAGTAAGTGCGATGATGGAATATTGGAATTATATTGTACGCGCGCGTGCGTTTGTGCACTCGTGTCATGTGCGGCCTAAAATAGATATGGTTATGGATAATGGATATGTAAAGACAAATTAACCTTCGCCAGTGAGGAATGGAGGCTCCGAAACCGTGGACAAGCAGTAGAGAAGGCTTGGGTTTTGGATTTGAAGATGATGGTGGTGGATCAGAAAGAGAAACAAAGTAATTGATGGCGTATCTACCCTTCCACTTCCACTGTCTGCACTTGTCTTTTATCTCTCTCAACTCCTCCACTTCCAACGAAGTCGTCGTATCTTCGCCACCAGCTGCTGCACCTGTGGCCGCTGCTGTAATACTAGACGACGTTGCCTTTGCTGCAGAAACACAAGAGCTGAATTTCATGTTCAAGCTGCGAGGAAGAATATTTTGACCACCATATCTAAAAAGCAAGCTCCTTATTCCTATGTGCTTGCTTGGGAATCGCCGCAACTGCAAATAGAGCGGCGGCCCAAACGAAACTGGACGGGGAGCCCTTACCGTGAACCACATCATTTCTTCCCTCTCCCTCTTACTTTCGCTTTCTTGTTCGTTTCCTTTGTTATTGATGTTTAATCTCCAAAGCGGATGGCAACTGTAAAACATAAAAAGTGATATTTAATTATTTATGTGACAATTTAACATATTGCATAATTTTTTGCTATGTTAAATAAAATATCATTTTATATTTTTTTTCATCTCTTTGTGGAGTTTAATTATTGAGACAATCAATCAAGGATAATACTAGAGAGATTAAATTTGAAAACTAAATTATATGTTATCAATAAGAGCGTGCACGTTTATCAACGCTTAAATAATAAATCAATCATCAACTTACATATCGTTTAGTTTTCAAAACTTTGTCTTCAAATTTAGTCTCCCTCGCATTACCCATCAATCAAATGCTTGGAACACATAGCAACGTTTACTATGTATGGCTAATGGCATCACATCTATTAAAATGTTATTTAATCAATTTTACAGCAGCTATAAAAATGACAACAAAGGCTTTTCTTTAATTGACTAAGGTCCAAGTAAGAAACTAAAGGCTCAGTTACAGAGAACTTTTCTATCATTTTTCACTGTTGTGTCCATATAGCAATTTTGATATCTTCTTTGAAGACGGGCTTAACAAACTAAAAAAGACATGGACCAAAATATCAAATAAATCATTATTATTTAAAACTATTAATTAATGATAAATTTAAAGACAAAAAAGAGAGTAAAAATGTATATCATTTTAATTTTAGTTAGTAAGATCACAAATAGGGAAATGGAATGAAGGACCTCACGTGAATGATGGGCATTGTCATGAAGAAACTTTTTCATGCCAACACCAAATTGTCACAATTGTGAATAAATTCTTTAACGGTTGTTTGCTTGCACATACAGAGGTGCGTAAGTGGAATTTTAGTTTCAACAATGTTTGTATATGAGCTTTTAAATTTTTTTTCTCAGCGTAAGTTGTAGAATTAATTGTATTAAGATAATTAAAATTCAAATAGTGTTGTAGGCATAATTTATTAAACAATTATGGAGGTTATAGAGAAAGGATACAGCAATAATAGAGAGAAAGAGAGAGAAATGTAATTGTGGGGTATGTTCTATTTCACCCCATTATGCTTTATATATAGTAGTAGGGAAGGTTATTTCCTTACCATTTTAGAATTACAACTCTAATAGGAATTAGACTACTAAAGGGAATATAAAAGATATCCCTAGATACACTAGGATTTACACAATCACATTCCTAATCTAATAAGACTACAACACTCCCTCTTGAGTGTGTAAATACCCAAGTAAATTGCGCATCAGGTCTTCAGCGATGAAGCGAGTACAGTTAATGAAGTCGTCGGCATAATGAGCGAATGCGAGTCTCAAATCAATGGAAGAATGCATAAAAAGGTAAAACTCACAAAACCTCGCTATGGTAAAACCCAAGGTGGGAGAGAAACCCATAGACTAAGGAGAAAAGTGAGAAGTTGCATTAAGTCAAAACTATACGTCTTCTGGATGCAAGCAGAAAAGCTCATAAGGGTATGATCAGCTCAGGATGAGTGCCTCGTTAAAACCTAGTTAGGTAGCACAAACCTAATGCGAAAAATGCTCCTAATCGTAGGGAAAAAGAGTACATTAAGATCAAGTGAGTATACTTCTGAATACTCTCCTGAGTTTGACATAACTTCCAAATGAAAACTACAAGCATTGCATATGAATAGTTAGGCATACCAATTTCTCGGACAAGCTTCTGGAAGGTTGACTTTGGCAGTGACATCGTGTAGAGGTCAGCAAGGTTGTTTGGGATCAGCTTGCATGACTTCAATATCCTGATGCTTTGCTAATGTAATGTAGATGCAATATGTCTTGGCATTGACTTCGTTGATGTATCATGTCTTGGTCAGGTGGATACATGCGGCATAATCTTCATGGATCGTTGTTGGGACTCAACAATGGATGAAAACACAGCAAGTACTTCGAATATGCTCAACAAGAATTCCTAACCATGTCCCACTTGTGCGTAATGAAGTGAGATGAGTCTTGGAATGATTCGAAGATTTCGCAACTAAGGTCATATCGTGGACCTCCAAGATATTGCGATATCCCTAACGGTAAAGACATAACCATTTGGGGATTTTGTCTTGTGTGGGTTTGATAAGCAACATGCGTCAGAATAACAACAAGACAAACATCATTTCAAGGATCAGGGGGTTAGATCCACTCAAGATGCGTTGGGATCTACCCTCATAACACCTTCAGGGTACGTCTTTAATATCAATTCAGTGGATGCGTGTAGGTGCGGTGTTGCATCTTTACCAATAGATCAACAACGAATGAGGCATGTCTAAATACAATGAGCTAAGTAAAACAAAGCGCAAAGTTGAACTCATATATGGAATTTTGGATTCCATAACCTCTTCAAGGGTCTCATTTGCATGTAACGTATGGACGATCAAAGGTATACTCAAAGGTGACACCTTTAGGGTGTAGTTTGACTGGTAGACCAAAATATCGTCAGAACAATACTTCATGTCACATCCCGGCCCGGGGGGACCACTTCCCGGGCCCGCTCCACCACCGTAGCACGATATTGTCCGCTTTGGGCCCCGACCACGCCCTCACGGTTTTGTTTCTGGGAACTCTGAAGTTAAGCGAGTAGCGCGCGAGAGCAATCCCAGGATGGGTCACCCATCCTGGGAATGCTCTCGTGCGCGTTCCCAGAAACAAAACCGTGAGGGCGTGGTCGGGGCCCAAAGCGGACAATATCGTGCTATGGTGGTGGAGCGGGCCCGGGAAGTGATCTGCCCCGGGCCAGGATGTGACACTTCAACTTCAGGTCAAGGCATAAACGAGTTTTCCCAATATCCTTCATCTCAAATTCCATCTTTAGGTGCGAGGCAGTTTTCTCAAGCTCTTTCAGAGTTTTAGTGAGATTCGACATAAACTGTAACTCTAGCAATTCAGAATAAGACTTTATAGTTTAACACACAAGGGCATAATCCGTCCCTGATTGATCAAATAATCACTTAGATGGGTATACCACATCTGTCGGATTGTAAGTGAACGCCTCAAACAAGTTAAGAGGGTGTTCCGTGGTTTGGAACTATTTGAACCAGTCCATGTAATTCTTCGGCAACTTTCATGTCAATCTCTGTATCTATATCCCTATGGAGAAAACACTAACCACATTTTCATAATGCTACTATTAATCACATGACGTTTTAAGAGAAACCTTGTGCCGTAAGGTGTCATCTTGAATATCCTTAAAAACTCAATGACAGGGAGAATTTAAGGTCCCTTAAATGGTAATTCAGTACCATTCATACAATGAGGAGTATGCCAATGCTCTTAATCAGGTTGGATAGACCTGAAGTCGTAGTTAGAGATGTGATTTAGGTGTAAAGTTAGTGTGTGTAGTATCGCATTCATCCAGACAACTAACTTTCACACATTCTTACCTAATCACGTGTTTAATTGAATTGGGTCACATGTATTAAGAAGCATGATTCAATTAACTCATATTCGAGGACAATATCAATAAGATTATCCATGAGTAAAACAATCACCAAATGTGAATCCAAGAAAATGGAAAAATGTTCACAAAGTAAACCAAAATTACTAGGGTGGATTCGGCCAACAAGGTCATTCATGTCAAAATTATGCTCTTCCAACGATGTTTGGTGGAGCAAAACCAATCTCACATATTAACTATGAGAATGGTACTTCCCAACAACATTGATAGGGGCACGAACAGGTGCATAACCAATGATTTATTCCATCAAGACGAAGTAGATTCTGCAGGGTTGAGATGCGGAACAACATCCCTTATTCTTGAAGTTTTAGGTCTTAGGTGCCAATGATCACGCTTCAGGCATGATGCCACACCTTGGTAGACCCTGATTCTACCATATGTTTGTGGTAGTAATCAGATCCAAGAATTTGGTAAACTTCCGCTTTCTACACTTGTTTCTTTAGGAGCGAGTTAGAAACAATGAAGGACGAGAAAAGTATTCTCTAATCAAAATTCGATCGGATTTATAAACTTTGGAATTGTACTCGTTCATGGACGTAATCATGGTGTGCTTTGGGCAATATCTTTCATGATTAGACTGTCAATAAGAGAGAGCCAAAGAGCCATGGAATCCTCGTTCATGAGGTACTTCCGTTGGTAATGCTTCAGGCATAAGTCTTCGAATGAAGATCATGGCAGAGGCTTATTCAGCTCTTCCATGCCATTATTAGCTACAATGGTTTCTCAGCTTCTTGATAATCAAGTGGAGATTCACGTCTTGTACCCCACATAAAGTGGTTTATATTAGAAGCATCCAAATCAGGAAAATCAAACTTGTGACGGTTCGACAATCCACTAAATTGGTGGGAACAAGATTGTTATTGGTGCTATGAGAATGAATCATCCATAAGCATCAAAGTTAGAACATTCGGGTTCTAAGACATGGTTTTCATGAAAAACGTCAGGTTTTCATAGGTGTATTGTTTTATGAAAACTTCGGGTTTCAAAGGCACTAAATTTGAAATTACAGGTTCAATTTAGTTTATGAACATCTAGTTCATAAAAGAGAGGTTCCTGGAAGAACAAAGAATGCAATATGCTGATTTAAGTGTAGTGGATTTGAGTTGCTTCGGGAACTCAAGTGTGAGCGCTTTGGGACCAAGAAAGTGAGTCAACTGTTCAAAGAAGAGAAATAAAATATTTAATCGTTAATGTCCAAAAGTGATCTTCAGGTCAATAATTTTGGATTCATTATCATATTAATGGACTGTATGTCACTTTTAATTAATTCAATAAATCGGGATCATTCGAGGTTGATTGTAGACGCAAAATAATACAAAGTTTCAGGCCATATTTTGGGCTAGATGGATGCGGGCCATTCGAAAGAAGAAAAAAAAAACCCAAAAAAATGATTAGGGCTGTGAAATTGGGTACCAAAAATAAAAATTTATGGGTCTGGGCTAAAAAAAAAAAGCCAAAAATTGGCTTTGGTCCGAGAAACAAGGGTAGCCTAGCATTGAAATTGGGCTTGAGTTCCATGCACAAAAAAAGCCCAAAAAAAAGGGCCGATGTCTTGGCTTGGCTTCAAGCCAACTGGGGGCGACTTG